CTCTCTCTCTCTCTCTCTCTCTCTCTCTCTCTCTTTCTTTCTTTCTTTTTTTCTATTGCTGCTACCAAGGCTGTCGATTTTGGGTTCAAGTAAAATGAAATAGTTGGAAAATATAACAAGGAAAATTGAGTGAATAATGATTTTTAAAAATAATATAAGAAAATTTCCCTAAATTTCAATTTAGGATCTTATCAAAAGATCAGTTGAAAGATGAAAGCATATAAAGAGGAAAATTGGAGGTGGATCGTGATAAGGAAATGACCACCATTTTCTCGATAAGTTTTATAGTCTTATTGGTATCTGAAGGTAAGTATATCAACGTATTTATAAAAATAAAAATTAGAAGAAAAACTTAAAAAAGCAAATCAATAGATTTCTTAAGTATGTTTGTCCCTGACTGGCATTAGGTAGTTTCAGATCACTGCTAGTTCAGTATTTTCCTCGCTTATAAGCCTAGAAATTTCCTATAATATTCAGATTTTATGAGGGGGAAAAAAACGAAAGAACAAAACCAGAACTCTTTTCTCATGTGAAAACAGAATAATATCAACCACACACACACACAAAAAAAAATGTTCTTCTTACCATTCCTGGTACCAGGAATCAAACTATAAGTTGAAGTTAAAAGCTGCAAACTAAGATTCCTATAATTTTTGTTTATATCTAACTAGTCAGATCAGCTCATTTTGTATACATTGGTTTCTGTAACTTTTGATATCACAGTTTATCTTTACTTCAAGTACAGTTTTTAAAATCAGAAAATATTTAATAAATTGTAACCAAAAAAAATTCCCTGACTCCAAAAGCCATCAAGCAGGGAGATTTTATAAAAATAAAAATTTTCTCAAAACAAGATATTGTGCCTTTTGTGCTCTGAAGAGGTGAGAGTGGGGCCAAGCTTCAGCTGTTTATCAACCCAAAGAACTCACTTCCTCACTCCCACTGAGTCAGTTCCAACTCAGCAGGTTTCCAAGGTTGCCAATGTCTATTAGAAGAGGAGGAGACAGCCCACATTCTTCCTGGAGAGCCACTGGAGGATATGAACCACATGAGAAGCTTAGCCTTTGGAATAGCAGCACAAATCTCCATGGACACCACCACTGGAATTGGGGGGTTGGGGGGTCGTGTATTTTTTTCTTATTAGTTCACCCAGAGATGTTTCTTTCTGCTCTTGGACCAAACAGAGTGGGCAAATAATATTATCTAACTTATAAAATATGTTGTCTATCCTAACTGCAGCTCTGATTCACTGACTTGTCCAAATAAAGTTCTACTTTAAGGTTCATATAAGGTTCTACTTTAATCATTTGATCAATTTGTACTTGAGCAACACTATGTGGATAAGACAGCTGTTGAGCCGTGCAAACACCATGCACATGTACAGGTTGAAGCCCCTGTGAGGAAGGTTTGCTACTTACCAGGAATGTGTTTCCACAGTGCCCACACACAACTCTCGTTCCCTCTGGTTGGACTGGCAAAGCAGGTTGAGCTGGCTGTTCTTCAGAAATAAGCATTACTGGACCAAGGTTAATTATGCGTCTACTATGAAAAAGACCCAAAATAATTTCATTAATCTACAAATATTCTGAAGACAAAATTTGTAACATGTATCCTAACACATAAAAAAAGCACTGACAACATATTATACTTGTTTTATAAAGTAAGTGCCAAGCTTTAGAGTTGACATAATATAAAAAGCCATAGTCTTTCAAAAATAAAATGAAAGATAGGGAGATGAGGTGTTTTGTTTTGTTTTTTTAATACTTCGGAGGTTGCTGTTAGGTGCCACCAAGTCAAGTACAATTCATGGTGGCCCTGTGAACAGCAGATGTGAACCTTGCCCTCTCCTGCGTTGTCCTAAAACCTCTGTCATGCCCAACTGTGCTGGTCACTGTATCAATCTATCTCATTGAGGGTCTTCCTCTCGTTTACGGACCCTCCACCTTACCCAGCATGGTGTCTCTCTCCAAAGACTCGTTCCTCCTGAAAATACACCCAGAGCATGTGAAATGGAATTTCACCCTCCTTGCCTTTAAGGAGCACTCTGGTTGTTCAGGACAGATCTGTTTGTTCTCTTTATGGTCCCTGGAGTTGTCAATAATCATCTCCAACACTACAATTCAAATGGATTGATTCCATTATTGTAGAATGAGTATAAGGATTGAAGGGGGTGGGGAGAGGGGAGAAGAGGTTGGAAGCATAGCGATGTGGATGTGCAGGGTGATGGGGGGATTAACCATCAGGTTGTACAATTTGATGGGGGTCTGAGGGAAATGGAAAGAATTTATTTGAATTTGTATTTGAATTTTGTAAATAAGCTAGCAGAAAATAAAGAAAAACCACAAAACCAATGAATTGATTCTTCTTCAGTCTTCCTTATTAGTGTATAGTTAGGTGTTGGTCCTTATAAAGCCCTTGGGAACAATTTAATTACCATTTCTTAGTATATATATATGAAAATAATTCTTATTACTTCCTTTTTAGAATGATTAACTTGTACTTAGTCAAAGTTTTGAAAACTAAGAAAGTTAATTTGAAATATTACATCAACATTTTTATATGTGCCATGAAGGTAGCAAGGTGATGAAATGCTGTATTTCTCTGAATTGTCTGGTATTCCTTAATGCAACTTTAACCAGGAATTGAAAGGAAGCAAATTGGGGGCCTCTTTTCCTTTCTCTTTTCCAGTCTATTATCAAATGAGGCTACAAAAATTCATGTAACAGTAAAAAGCAAGACATTTCACAGGATTGGGGGAAATGGATAGTTAAGGTCTTGATATAGTTGTATCTGTATACACTATGGTATCTGGTATATGCAAATTATTCCAGAATTTATTGGCTATCATAAATAGGATCAGGGAGCTCTAGTGGCCTAGTGGCAAGAAGCTGGGCTCCAATCCTGAAGGCATACAGTTCAAGGCTACCAGCTGCTCCATGGGGGAAGGAGGGCCAATCTCCTCCCATGTGATTAACTGCCTCTGAAAATCTGCTGGAGGGTCAGCTATGGGTCAATCCGACTCTATGGTACACAACAACAACAACAACAAGTAAGATCAGGAGAGCATGCAATGAAGTATACAATGACAAAGCACTAACTGCTTATTTTTAATAAGTTTAATGATATTAGCTATTAACATAACATCAAACAAATACATTACTAATTCAAGGACATTATGTCTTATAAAGCCTATAACACTGTTTGATTAAGTATATCATTACTTGAACAAAAACAAAATTTATCTAGATCCTGTAAATAATTTGAAAGCAAAGATTTCAGAACAAAGCCTAGTATACAATGAACCTTCAATAAAAATGTATGTGTCCAAAGAACAAATGAATGAATAGATGAATGAATCATCTCTTACCAGTTGGGTCTTGGGCATCCTATTCGTCGAGATGTGTCCTTACAAATGAGGAGACAATTACAAGGGCATCTAACGTATTTCTTCCCTGTCGGGGGGTTTTTGATTGGCTACATGGTGAAAAAAACAAAACCCAAACATAACAAATTAACAAAAATATGAATTACTTGTCCTTTTTTTTATCTTAAAAAAATGATGCCTTTAAAACTAAGGTATCCAATCCTTTAAAACTAAGGTAATCAATAGTATCACTACAGTATGGTATAAAGAACAATGATGTAAAATAGGACAAATATTGACAGACATTTTTGTTATGTTTTAGGGAGTTATCAAAATGGTCATTATCAGATAGGAATACATTTAAAAATTTGCTTTTTACTGGCCTTGTAATAAGGGAGGACTAATCACTATACACAAAAAGTTGGATTTTTCTTTCCCCCGCTTAACATTAACTCTCTATTTTACCAGATCTGGAAAAGAGTAATTCCAATCCATCTCTGGTTATGAATGGTAGATAGTTCTTATTTGCCTTTTAACATTAAGTAAATTTGTTCTCACTTTGTGATGGCAACAATCCTTCAGAGAGTAAACAAACCCCCAAAACAAAACAAACAAACAAACAAACAAAAAAACCAACTCACTGCCATCGAATTAATTCCAACTCATGAATTAGGTTTGGTGACCCTCCATCAGGTTTCCTAGGCTCTAAATCTCAGTGAGGAACTTAGTGACCTGGTGAGTAAGGAGCTGTGCTGCCAGCCCCCAAACAGGTGGTTCAAATCCACCAGCTGCTCAGCAGGAGAAAGACTGGCAATCTTCTTTCCCGTGATTTTCAGCCTTTCAAAACCCACAGGAGGATCTGCTCTGAGCTGGTTCTGACTTGATGGCAACAAGTTGTGAATTTTAGTGAGACTAAGAACAAGACTTTTTTTATAGTGTGGACAGATACTGAACATAATAAAAATATCCATGCCTTATCACTTATCACATTTTTAAAAATTCACAGCCAGACATATTTCAATTCACCATGAAACTGTCTTGAAGACAGACTGAGAAAAAGAAGGAAAAAACCTTAAAGAGATCACATTTGTATGTAGCCCACATTTACATTTAAGTAACATTACTGAAATGCTTTGGATAGGGAGGATAGAAGGAGAATTGATGCCTTTGAGCTGTGGTGCTGGAGAAGAGTATTGAATGTACCATGAAATGCCAAGAAAACAAACAGATTCATCCTAGAGAGGGTTAAACTAGGCTACTCCTTGGAGGCAAGGATTCTGGGGCTTCATCTGACACACTTTGGACATGTTGTAAGGAGGGACAGGTCCTTGGAGAGGGACATCATGCTTGGGAGGGTGGAGGGACAGCGCAGGAGGAGAAGACACTCTACAAGGTGGATTGATTCACTGACTGAGTAATCGGGATGGGTGTGTCAGAGGCAGTGCGACTGGCACAGGATAGAGTAGGGTTTAGGGCTGTTGTACATAGGGCCACTATGAGTCACAAGAGACTCGGTGGCACATAACAACAACAACAACAACAACAACAACAACAGTGTGTGCCTGCACCAGTAATTCAAAAGGCAGTGACTCTCTGACTGATCAGTTACACCAGCAGCCCCTTGGGGAAAATATAGGCAATATCTTCTTGTCCGTTTGCAGCCTTGGAAAACCCACAGGAGGGTTGGCTATGCCTCAGTTCTGACTCAATGGCAGCGAAGTTCGGTTTGGTTTGAATAAAGGATATCAGATAACAGTTTATGTTTTTATTAACAGAAAACTACTTACGGTAGCTTCATTACACACTGTGCACTTAACCACGTGTTGGTGAAGCTTGCCATCCAAATTGATGAGAGATTGGCACACACGGCAGTTTATTACAGGAATACCACTGGCATCTGGACTGGCAATGGCTGTGTACGGAGGTGGAAGTTCCGCTGAAAAGATATTAGTGACTCAGTCAGACTGTCAGAGACACTTGGATTAGTTATATCTCTCAGCATGTGATCAATGGAGGGACAGTGGAAAGCATCAATATGTTCCCATATCCTTTTATTTCCATACTTTTTTAGCCAACTTACCCTAACATTGGAATAAAAACATACTTGAGATTGTCTTGAGAAATCAAATAATTAACTTCTTAAAAAAAATAACATTTTCTTGTATTCCAGGTGAAGCTTTCCACGGCAGTTCAAATTCTCACTCATCAATTTATACACGATTTGTTCACTGACACTAGTTGCCTTCTTCACAAAACATGAACATTTTCATTACTTCTTCTCTGGTTGTTCTGTTTTCATTAATCTCGTTTTCTTGCCTGCTTACATTCTCATCTTTGTTTTAAAGTAATTGTTGACCATTTGGTTTCAGATGATTTTTTCAAAAGGAGCATATAATTTTATGAGCCAATTTGTTATTTAGCTACAAGATTACCTCAGGAATTAGTGTCAGCTCAAGATTCAGAGAGTGTCTCAGGGCTACAGTCTCCCAGCATCAATTAGTCCAAAAGGCCTAGATGTGTTGATTTGCTTTTAAGAATTTAATTTTATTAAAATAATTCCTAATCCTGATAAAATCTAAATCATGTTTATCTAGACCTGGCCCAATAACCCAGTTCCCTTTTACTAACCCAGACCTAAAATATCCATTCCACCCAATTCAGCTCATTGCTTTCAAGTTGGAACTAACTCATAACTGACTTTCCACTGAGTTTCTGAAGCTGTAAATCACCTAAGAAGAGATTCCCCATCTTTCTCCCTCACAGGTGATGGCAGATTTAAATTACCCCCAAGGGGAGGCCTTTGGGTTACCTATTCACCTCCCTACAGACTATGCCAACCGAAGCACCTTTCCAGTTTTTGGATAAAGGATAAATAGCAGTTAACATTGCACTAGAACGTGGAAACTCTTAATATCTATAATAGGGAGATCTCGTGGCAGAATTTATAGGAAGTTTCACTGCTAACTCAGTGACTGCTTGTGGATCTGCAGGAGAAAGATGGGTTGCAGCCGTGGCAACATGCTGGGGTGTCAACTATGAGTTGTTTCTGACTCCTCAGTGGTGAGAGGTTTATAGGAAAGTAGTACTTTATCACTAAAGTAAGTAAGTATTTACCAAGAAATTTAAAAAGTTCATGAAAGCAAAATTTTAAAATCCTCTGTTCCTTGTTAATACCAGGATCAGTATAATGACTGCTGCTATGGGAACAAAAAGTTAAGAGATTTGGAGACACTCAAGGAAAAACAGGAGTGGACCTAGAAAAACTCAATTTATCAGCATGTTACAAAGATAGGAATAATGCTACTTTCAGCCACAGAT